ATCTTTTGTCTTTTCTCTATTTGGGACATTATGTATTGCTGCTGGTTACTGTGGGTAGTAGTAGATTGAAGCAGAGAATTCTCTGTTTGAGATTTCAATAAACGATGAAAAAATGTCTGAGGAAGAGTTGGGTTTTTGAAGAACTGTAACACTTCTACTTCGATGATTAATGGAAAGTGAAAAAGGGTAGGTGGGCATGCAATAAAAATGAGTCATTTAAGGGAAAAATTGAAAATTGGACTTTTTCAAGTGAAGAACTCCTAAATATGAAGGAGTTCTAATAACTTGTTGGGATGATTTGTGGTGGTTCTGGCTTAATTCTGTTGCAACTGTAATTACATGTGCTGATTGAAGTCACCCGTACCCAGTTGTGTAATTTGAAAGAGAGTTTTCTGTGAACTGTTTGATTTATGAGATCAGTTGAATCTGTAGTGAATGCAAATTGAAAATATTTTATTGGATCTATTGACATCTTAAATCAAGGTATTCTTTCTTTCCTTTTTTTTTTTTTTTTTTTTGCTGGTTTTCAGGGAGGTGAAAATGTATTTGAGTGGCCATCTATTGTACATAACCCATTTCAAACTACCATCTACTGGATATCAGTGCACATTCATCCAACTTATTCAATGGAGATGAACTCCAACTTCAAGCAACAGATTTCTCTTTCTTGTTTTGATCGCATTGATTAAGTCCCAAATTTGGTTTGAATGATCTTTTGTAGGTGATATATCAATGAACAGACTAAGGAGTTAGAAGATGCCCTTTTATGCATTGAATAATTTTTTTTTTCTTTTTATGTTATATCAGGCTGTAAAAACTGTTGCAAAGAGTCCCATGTTCGCTAGGGATCCAAGGCATCTACAGTTTAAAGCAGACATAGATCATCTTTTCCTATATACCAGGTCAGTGTTGAGTTTTTCAATGAATCAAATACTAGATGTGCCTTTCTGTTCTGCAGATGATGTTTCTGTGGCTGCTATTTGTATTTGTTACCCCCTTTATTTATAAAAATCATCATTAGTTGTGTGTATACTCTTGAGGCATGGTTTATATAATCAGCTCTATGAGTCCTGTCCTGACAGTTTAGTGCAAGACTCCATGGAGAGTCCATGGTTTTTGCTGGAGTGTAGTGCTTTCTTCTGTAGTTCTTTTTCTGGTTTCTTTCATGCCTTCTTTTTACACTCTATGGTTAAAAATGCCATCTTAACAGACTTAACAGACAAAACTGACAAAGGGACCAAAAAAGTGCATTTTTTATAGTTGAGGAATGAAAAAAGAGCAAAAAATAGTTTAGGGACTAAAATTGTTTAAAATTGAAAGTTCAGGAACTAAATTTGATATTTAACCTATGTTTAACTAGAGCCGATCATTTTGACTTTTACAATGTAAGATATTTGATGTACCTATTTTGAATTAATTTCATTTATTAGGCACTTTTCATTTATAGGTTTGTCCCAGAACTTTGCAACTTAGCTTAATTGGGTTCAAAGAGCTTTACAATAATGCTAACTTATTTTTCTTTTGATATTACCTGTTAAACCTGTCTTGAAATCCATATTCCAAATGAATGCATTTAATGTTAATTAGGATTAAATAATTCACTTTTGTGCACTATTCCCTTTAATTTATCCGTCTAGGAATCTCTATGATGAACCATATGACAATTTTGAGATCTTCTTCTAAATCTATTATTTTTCATCAAGGATCTCATATTTATGTCCTCACTGGTGACAGCAAGTGACTCTAGACACTAGCATGTAGAGATTACAAAATGTGTTTTTTTTTTAATAAGAGAAATATATTAATCAAATTAAACAGCAGCAACAGTTCTTGAAACTACTGTTCAATGCAGTCACAAAAATAACAAAAGGGAGAATTCAGAAGGACTCTTATTCAGTACAACATAATTCATAACTGAGTTGGATCCTAATTTAGTAAGAAAATCTACTGCTGTATTTGCTTTCTGGTAGATCTGGATCAGTCTAAGGTCAGAAAGCTGGCTGAGGAATTGCCTGCAGCCAGAAATTAAGATACCCAATGAATGAAAAACTTGGCTTTGGTTAGCAGTATCTGAACGAGCTTTAGTCTGAGATCACAAAATGTTGCTGAATAATTCTATCCTATAATTTGATCTACTAAAATCTACACATACAAAATCTCAACTAAAGGGGACCATCTAGACATCTTTGTTTTTAAGCCTTGTTTCATTTTGGTGATTTTAAAGCTACTAATGTACTCAGCAGTGGAAAGAGATTTAACCTTCCACTCTCCTTGGGTAGAGTTTATGCCACTCCAATGAGAGCCACCCCCTTGATGGCTCCACCAGGTAACACCAGTGTTTTGTAGTTTCTTTCTCCTTCCTAAACCTCTTTTTCTTTCTTTCTTGCCTAATTTACCTTTCTCTGCATTTTCTTTCCATCATCTATCAAAATCCTAAAAAAAATTACGAAACCCTAAAACCAAATTGTTCTTAGATTTCACTTTATTTCATCTCTACATGGCTAATGCTGCTTGGGTATGCGATTTGAATTCTGGAGACCAATCTGAGGATAGGTGCACAATTGTGGTGTTTGGATGCTTTACCACTAAATCTAAGGTCAATTAGTGCAAGATTTATGGGGTCTTGGCCAAAGATTGGACAGATTGACAGGGTTTTCAGGATGATTCCATGGTGGACAAGCGATTCAGGGATGGTGACAGCCAACTGGTAGATGGCTTATGCATTGTCACTGGTGAGGTGACTTCAGAGTTTCCAGGCCTGCTAATCAAAACTCGGGCTGTTTGGAAGAACTTTCTGGAGGTGAATAGAGAGGATCCCTGTTAGAGCACTGGATTTAGATGTTCTGGCTATTATCTCAGATGACGAAGTGACGCTAGTTCTGCAGATCAAGGGGAAAGCATTTCTAGCTAAGAGGCCAAACCAATGTAGTGTTCCGACGGGTGGTAAGCAGTTAAGAGGTAGGATTGGCCTCAACTTAACTGTTAATGTTGAGAAATGCTTGCTTCTAAGTGGAATACATATTATGTGAGTTTGGTCATTTCACTGTTCTATTGAGGATGGGTTTTCAATATGTATTATGAGTTGATGATACTTTGTCACTAAGGAGGGCTGACAGGATCAAGATCGTGTGTGCTTGGATTTATCATATCTGTGGTTAGTTATGGTGGTAATTGGGAAGAGGAATATACAGTGAAATTATTAAGAATGTCTGATGAGGGTACACTGAAAGGGCTTGTTTTTGCTTGTTTTTGCTTGGACCTAGTTGCTACACAAGTTGAAAGGGGTGGTGGTTCCCTGAAATTAACAACCAAGGAGATACGAGTTCTGATGTTGTTGGTAGGGGCCAAGGGTTGGGACCTACCTTGGTCAGTT